TTCAACAAAATAATAGTCGATTTGGCGAGATTTAGGGTGAAGATTGACGACAAGGATAAAAAAATATCTTGATATGCTCGTTACTAGGTTCTTATGGCCACTTGATGACTACTTTTATCTACGGAAAAAACATTCTCAGTCTTGATAAAATTACTACTACACTTTTGTCTGATTTTCAAATGAGACAAATTATATAGGAAGGAACTCAAGGAAACAATTTGTATATGAAAATGGGTCAAAATGTTAGACGAATTCGGGTAATGGAGGTTATGGAAATAAGAGGACGAAATCAAAGAATTAGAAAATAGTTGATTGTTATGGTTGAAAACATATTGGGCATTAAAAGAGAGACTGTCCTAACAGAAAACAGGACTTACTTATGCAAATGTGGTTCAAATAGATGATTCTAGCAGTGAAGCAGATATATTGTGTGTTTCATCAAGAAAATACAAATGTGCATGGATTATTGACTCTGGGTATTATAACCACGTGACATCGCAGTGGGAATGGTTCACTATATTCATATCAACTAATTTTGGATTTGCTTATTTAGGTGATGATAAAGCACGTACTATCAGTAGAATGGGACAAAGTAAATTGTCATGGACGATAGTGGTGTGTGAATATTAAACATTGTTAGATATATTTTCAATTGAAGAAGAAATTAATTTCCCTAGATACTCTACAAGAAAATGGTTTCTCCTACAAAGGTAAATTGACTATGATGAAAGCAAAGAAGATTGTATGTAACATCTGCAAACTGTTTGGGAAAACTCTTATAGGTGATGCTGCATCAATTGGGAATGATAATGATGCAATCAAACCCTTTCATATACCCCTGAGTCATATTAGTGAGTATGGGATGATGGAACTTCATAAAAAAAATATACTGAAAGGTGTTCATAGTTGCAAGATGGATTTGTGCAAGTATTATGTACTTGAAAAATATTTTCGTGTTTGATTCAAGATCAGAAAGCACAAAAAAAGGGTGTTCTGTGAACGGGGTTCTAGGAATTTTTTTACTTTCACAGATGATTTTTCTTGCAATGTTTGTGTATTTCTTAAAGCATAAATTTAAAGTCTTTACCAAATTCAAGTTATGAAAGACATAGATAGAGAATCAAACAGGCGACGAAAGTCTCTTAAAATTTTTATAGAGAGAGTATCTTTATTCATGGTTGCTCTGAAAACAGAAAATGAACAAATACATTATGCTGACGAAAATGGATAGTGTATTTGATTAAAGCAAGACAACACACCGACAAAAGTGGATAATGTATTTGACTAAACCAAGACAACACACCAACGAAAGTGGATGTTGTCTATCTTTTCCATTTTTTCTACGAAGTTAGCTTATTTCTCGTAACAAATAGGTATTTGCTCTGCTAAAGGATAAGAGGCATGATTCATAGTCCTAAACTCTGTATGTTTTAATCATTATATTTCTAAACACAAAATTTATTCACGAACCAAATTTGGATCGTTTTAGCTACACATAGATAGGATAGAATTGGTAATCATTCATTTGGTCGCTGAGGTTCGGTAACTTTTTATACTATTTAACATTGTTGTGCGCTTGCGGTGTGTCAAATACCACTAGATACAATTGTATGCAATGCTCCAATCACTAGGTGCTAGGGTACCACATGCCTCATCATGTACCAGATGACTAAGGTTATCATCTTATATGAGATCCACATCTTTGTGTGCCATAGAGGGAGGAGCAAACTCGAAAGGATCTTTGGGAACAAACTGCATGTTGTCGAACTGAAACATGATGCATTCAGGTAGATATGGATACATCAGACGTGACCCGCAAGCTAACCATCTAGGGAAGAAGGTTGTGATCGTCCAAGGGACGCGTCTAATAATGATTGGTGTACGTCTGAAAATGTATATCTCTTGCTACTAAGTAGTCAAGATACACTCTAAAGGCTTTGTCGCCTGATTCCCTCTAAGCGGGACGAGTAGAAAAGCACGTAACATATTTTCAGTGTAGGTAGGAACATATGACCAATCTGATATGCGTGGCAAGTGCTAGAGGATCCAAACATGAAAATGGTACATACAAATTATTAGTACTGACGTAGCGCAAGTGTTATGAAAATGACACACACAGTAAATGATGCAAATATATTACCGTCAACATCGTGGTTGTCATCTGATTAATCTTCCACATACAAATTTTAACTTGGAGTACAGGTTGACCAACTAAGCGACCTCCTAGTTGTACTCATGAATCTCCTCTAAACTCATAAGGTGCATCAACATGTATCGGTGGGGCTTCCTATACACCAGCGGGTAACACCTACCTCCTCCTTAAAGATGAAGGCGGAGATGCATGAGCCTCAAAAGTTGACGCCTTCGCATCAAACAAACTAGAACTGACAGGTGCATGTGAGGCTCGTGCTTTTTTTCTCTCTTAGAAACTGATGCATGTTGCACAACTCTGTTGTGTCTCAATCTATCTTTGTTATCAGGCATTGTGCTTATAATTAAACCGCACAAATATTATACATATGAAACACAATAAAAATAAAGTCAAACAATACAGACTGAATAAATACGAAACTGCATTTCCGAATTCTAGAAATAAAAAATGTTGAAAAAATCATAAATGCATTTTCAGATTGTTATGCAACTCAGAATAAGAAAATGACAAAAATACAGTTGAATTCAACATTAAAAAAATATATTGATCATTTAAATTACCTATCACATACATTGTCCAGTTAAATAACATATCTAAACTACCTATTAGATAATTTAATGCTTAACTTTTACAAATGTATGGAAAAATAAAATAAAAATGTATAGAGAAATTAATTTGATATTGATGGTAAAAACTTGGACATGAATTCAGAGAGTTTGAAAGTTTATAGGTTGAGAGAGATTGTGAGTTGTGAGTTGAAATAGTAAAAAAGAAATGAAAAAGAAAAAGAGACTCTAAGACGTATTTGACTAAATAAAGATACATCTACAAAATATATTTTTTTATTATTTTTTGACATAACTTTAGAGTGTAACTCAAAAACAAATAAATTGTACATAAATAAAATGCATTCAAATATGTATTTTTAGATTATATGAATATTTTTTATTTTTCACTAAAGTGGGAGCAATGTTTTGGATGGAAAAAACAATTCTAAAAACAACACCAGCTCTAATTAGAAACTGACAAAGGTTAAGCTCGTGTGGGCTAAAGCACGGCTATATTTGGGAGAATTTTTTTTATGATATATAACTAAAAAGTTTATTTCTAAAATTAATTAACTTAAATTGCCCACAAATTAAAAAAAAAAATCTATAAATCCCGGTTATCTAGTTATTTATATATAATGATAGTTTTGTTCATTATTCAAAAAGAAAAAAATATTAAATATTATTCAAGTATTAAATATTGAACAGAACAACTGTGAGATACTTAACGGTATAAATTTGTATATATGTTGCTTCCTATTTTTGGGTTCGTGCCTTCCAAAGATTAAAATAACATGTGGTTTGGATATATATTTATAGTATGTCACAAAAGCAAAATAACTTCAAAATATATAACATATAATGTGTTTATTATTAACATTGCAAAATAGTATAATTAATTAAGTGTGATAATTATGAAATAAAAATTCGCATTCTATCAAAAAAAAAAGTTTTTGTGAAAATTATAAAAATGATAATCTAACATCTCACTATTAACAAATTAAATAAGTTCTAAAACTGTGTATGTTTCAATAAGAATATATAATTAAACATGAAATGCCACCCAAAGCATAGGTTATGCTAAAGGCAAAGAATATATAACTGTGCTTATTTTATATATCTTTCATATAGCTCATTTTTGTTTAATGTATGACTAATCACTTAAATTTAAATTCTAATAATTTTTCTTAAATTATTAGTTTTTAACATAAGGTATGACTAATCACTTAAGTTTAAATTCTAATAACTACTCTAAAATTATGTCTTTAACAACACTAGTCTTAGCTAGACCTGAATGTGCTAAAAGTATAAGTTGAAGCTTATTTGAGTTAAAAGAGTCCTTAACTCTTTTGAATGTATGATTTGATCTTATTATTTGAAAGAAACAGTGTAATGAAATAACATACAAAAGAGTTGATTCATTTCTAGCTTGAACCTTATACTCTTAGCACAATCATGTCTTGTACTTGGTACTCCCTCCGGCTTTTATTATAAGCAAAAAATTTCTTTTTAGTTTCATTAAGACCATATACATTCATTATTCAACGAATCTAAAAAGAAAATCTTTGTTTATAATAATGGCCGGAGTAGTATACTTTCTAGATTGTAGCAAATCATAGAAGAAAGTTGCAGTAATGTGGAAAAAATCACAGCTCTAAATCTAATTTGCTTTCTGAATATCGGAGGCCAGAAACAAGGTGCTACTGAGAACTTTCCTACAACAATAAGCCCTTTCTAAAAGAGCTTATTTCGAGCCTTATTCCAAAAACTTATCTGTTGTCAATAGCTTATACGGAAGCTTTCAAAAACTTATGAGCAAAGCATCATCCAAATACACAATAAGCATATTTAAATGTAACCTTTCAAATTTGAGTTTCAAGGAAAAAAAGTTTCTCTTATAATCTCATAAGTAACATTTATCAAAATATGACATCTACAACAATCCTATAAACCAAACCTGAAATCCTAGTAACAATAAAATATGATATAAATCCATTGACAAATATGTGTAGCAACTAAATTCATGTAAAAATTCTTCAGGATCCACAAAAACCGTTTCAAGACTTGCACACGGAAGCATAAAGCCAGAAACAAAAACCATAAGCTCTTTTCTAATTGATAAAGAAGTTGGTAAAAGCAGAAATGTTTCAGACCAGTGGAATTTTATTTAGATTGATGTTCAACAACTCAACCAGAGTCGATATCATTCATAGTGCAAGGATACCATTAAACATGTCCAAGGAAATAGAGGATACTCAACTCATACAAATAAGTTACCATGGGAAAGACTAAAAAAGTTTTCATTGTGCCCTTAAGACCTCGATCTCAAACTCCAAGACAGAGTTGGGCTGTATTCCCCAGGCAGGAAAACCACCAGCACCATAGGCATAATCAGGAGAGCACTGCAAGATTATAAACAAGGTGAGTGAGTAATAGTAGGATTATTCAAGATTATAAATAAGGTGAAAATATTTAGATATAAAGTATAGTAGTTATAAACATATGAAGCAAAGTAAGTGGTTATGACATAAATAAGGTGAAAAAAGTGAATCCAAGAGGTTATTGTAAGAAAATAAGAAGCAATAGATAATATACCCGAAGACGAGCAACTTCGCCGAGTTGCATGCCAAGGACACCTTCATCCCATCCTACATAGACAAATAGTTTGAATAAAAATGATATAGTGAGTAAGTTGTGAGTAGTTTACCTACATCTCTGAAACAAGACTTAAGTGTGATTACCTTTGATGACAGAACCTTGGCCGATTTTGAAAGTGAATGGATTCTGGCCAGGATCCTTCGTGCTCCAGAACTTCTGAGAAAGGTCACCGTTTTTACCTGTTGACTCATCATCGTCACAAACAATTAGGGCATGAATCAATGAAACAGAGGGTGGATCTAGGGTTTGGAGAGTGAGAGAGTGTGGTTACCGTAACCGGTGCAGTGAACGGTGACGTTCTGGCCGCGGCTAGGGTTGGGACCGGTTCCAGCTCTTATGATTTGCTTCTCAACACCCATTTTTCTTCTTCGCAACGAATCACGCTTCTGCTTTTCTTTTCTTTTATTCCTCCAAATAATACAAAATGGCTTTTCTTTTCTTTTATTTCTCCAAATAATACAAAATGGCTTTTCTTTTTAATATTCCGTTTTTTAAATTAAAAGATAAAGATACCTCGCCTCATTTTAATTTAATTGCCAAATAACCCTTTTTACTTACCTCACTCTTATTTGTAAGCTAACTCCTTTTTTTTTAATGTTCATGTCCCCATATACAACCAATACTTTTTTGTCAAATCATTTTAGAAAATACAAAAATAATTAAAATATCCAAAAAATATATTTTTTAAATAATTAATATTAATGTACGATCAACTATTAGTAGTTAAGTGATGATTGTAGTTGGATTTGATAGAAGTGATTACGATTCGATTTCTATAGCTGTGTTTAAGAGATGGTTAAAATTATTTGATGCTAAAACTAACTTCGAACAGAATTAGTCGGTCCAATGAGCGAATATTGGTTATTGTTAGGGGTTTTCAAATCGAAAACCAATCTAAAAAATTGAAAATCGTAAAAAACTAAAATTTATTGGATGTGTTTGGATGTCATTTAGTGAAAACCGATCGGTTCGGATCGGACTTCAGATTAATTTTTTAAAATCGATCCAAACTAAACCAAACCGCATACATATATTTTTATACTTATTTACTTTTTATTAGTATGATATGTTACATGAATTTATTATCAGATGATAATAATTGTTTTAATAATAATTATTAGCTTGATATAATCTATTTATTTTTTTTATTTCAATCATAGTCGACCACTCTCATTTTGTAATATTAAATTTTGACATATTATATGTTATATATTATATCAAATCTATGATTTATTAGTAATTTTATATATTAATAAAAATATAATGTGTAATTTGAATGTCTAAAAGTCAGTCCAAATTAAAACGCATAAAATTGGATCAGATCAGATTGAATTTTTTTAATATATTATCCAAAATCGAATCAAACCGCAAGTAAATTTATCTTTGAATCAGATGCTTTTTTGCCTTAAAACCCATACAAATCAAACCGTGAACACCCCTATTTATTACAGATCGGTGAACTCTTAGCCTTTGAAATCTACCTCACTCTTCCTTCATCCTATGATCGCTCTAGTTTTCTATCTGTTTTCCCAACTTTTCTCAATTGCGCAATCTAACAAAACTTTGTCTCATTTATCTATTTATTTACCCTAATTCTTTTATTTCCCTCTCACTTCTCCACTCTCCTCACACCCTCACTTAGTTTATATTTTCTACTTTATTTCTATTATTTCATTTTAATTTAAATAATACTCTAATTAAATTAAAATAACATAATTATTTAATTACTCTAATGTAATCAATTGTCTCAATTAAACTAATAATTCTATTATTTCTAATATCAACTAAATATAATTAAATAATAATAATTCTAATAAAACACATATATCACTCAAATAAATAAAATAAATTAATATAAATTTAATTAAAATTAAATAACTAAAATTGTGATCTTACATTATACTTTTATTAAAGACCTATTTAATTAAATAGAACATATTTAGGCTATCAAAAAAGTATATGAGACCTTATATGTTGGATTATATATGAATATCTATTAGAAAATGGGCTAAATAGTATATAAAATATCATGTTGTCCATTTAAAAAATAGTTAAATAAGTTTTTGGTCCTCTTAAATATCTCATAATCCACTTTTAGCTCCTAAAAATATTTCCTTTAAAAATGATCCTCCAAAAATTTGCATCCACACTTTTGGTCCCTCCTGCAACTTAGAGACAAAATTAGAGACGATTTTAGTGACAATTTATTAATTAGTGATTGATTTAATAGGAGAGACCAAAAATGTGGATGCAAAATTTTAGGAAGACAATTCTTTGAAGGAAATATTTTGAAGGACTAAAAGTGAAATATGAGATATTTAAAAGGACCACAAACATATTTAACTTTTTAAAAAATAAGTAAAATAAACTATTTAAAAGTCTTAATGACAAACAGACTATAAAGTACTCCATCCATTCTCTTTTATAAGAAAATTTTGACTTTTTAGATTCATTAAATAAATGATGTATTTAGACTATATATTGGTTAGATACATCAATTATTCAATGAACTTAAAAACTTAAAATTTTCTTATAAATAGGAATGGGGGGAGTATGCTTTCAGACCAGACCATACTTTGAAGAAAGGCCAATCTAGAAAAAAAAAACGAGCCTATAATAGGCCATAGATCAGACTCAGGTCTTAAAATTTTTATCGTAGATCAGACTCAGACCTCTTAAGGCATGGCCTATTCCCACCCCTAACTTCAAGTTCCTTTGCTTGATTAGATGTTGTCTACCACCTTCAATTGAAACATAATATGTTTGATTGATGAGACTTGTGATATTTTTTAGAACTTGATACATGTGATGGATGAAGCTTGTGATATTTTTACTGTCCATATGCCATCATCATGAGAATTTATAAGAGTTATCGTAATCAAAATTCAAGACTATTTGATAATCACCATTAACACATCTATTTGATAGTTATTATCATCAAAACTATTTGACGATATTACTTGTAGAATACATAATCATACTTACTATTAGTTTCATTTGAATTTTCCTTAATCTTAAAGATCCATATACACAAAAAACCTTGTATTTGACTTGGCAAAGATGTATGTATCCAAGTTTTATTTTAGGACAAGGCATTAAATTCCAATTTCCTAGCTTGAAACTAGTTAGGATTTGACAAGGCCGATATTATTATTATGGATTTGGTATTAGCTAATAAAGTCTTAGCATTAAAGTTGCTAGTTTTGCCTCTAGTATTTATGCATTTTGTGAAACCACCTATGGTGGTAATGTATGCTAATGAATGGTCTTTGGTATTAAAGTGTGTTGTATAGTATCATGCAATATAATATTCTCTTGAGTAATAGCCTTTAGTTATAATATAAGTTGATAAAGGTCTTGCATTGATGGAGATGAGTGTTGAGAGACATGTATGATATTTTTTAGGTGAGAGTGACAAGTCATAGACCTAAACAGATTTTGTGCCAAGACTTGGATTACCATTAATGAATCAGGCATTGAAGAAGGGCATGGGGTCGAGCAATATGTAGGAAAGGTATGGACAATATTTATATTACTAATTAATAACGAAGAGGTCATAGGTGTAGATAGAGGCGGGATAGGTTAGGTTGACCTAAACTTTGTCAAGCTTAAGCATGATCTGTTAAAATTTTTAAAGTTTAAGTCTGGTATGTAGTCTATTATATACTTATTTTTTGGCCTGAGACTGACATTTTTGAAAGCCTGATTAGCCTATTAGCCTTTAAAAAACATATATCATTAGAACATATTTAAATAAGTAATTCAACTAATGTTTGAAGAGATTAGAGAGTCAAAAGTACAATGAGACTAAAGGTATGTTTGCATTATTTTATTTGAGCTTACATACTACGGATGAAAACAACTTATGATATTATTCATAAGGTTTCTTAAACTTATTTTCACAAGTTCTTCAAGATAACTAAGCTTTATTTTTTATATTTTAATACAAAATATAAAATAATATATAAAAATAATAAATTTATTTATATTTATTAAAATAGGTCGGTCGGATAGGTTTGCAAGATTTTTTATGACATGTGGCCTAGCCTATTTAACTAAATGGGCTTATAAAAATCCTAGGCCTTTTCAACTTAAAAAAAATTAGCCTTGAGATATGAAGGCTAGGTCGTAGGCCCTTACTAGTTGGTCTGATATATTCTCACCCTTAGACGTAGATACTAAGTCAGATAAAGGGGAGTATGAAAACTTGACTCATTAAAGGACACTCCTTATTGATGAAAATTATACCTTTTTATTCAAACACTTATAACTCTTATGTTGAGGTGAAACACCTAAAACATACTCTTTTCACTCTTAAACAAAAGTTTGTTTTGGTTATAGGGTTTGAGCAAAGGGTAGTGTGCACATCCAAACACCTTTAAAGATTTGTATTGGGGCATAACTTTGTAAGGAGAGAAGGAGTTTCTACTCTTAAGGTAGGAAGCTTATTTATGATAAATACAATTGTATTGAAGTTTTATTTCCAATATATAAGTGGTAATTAAGCATGTGCAAGTAAAGTGAGGACATTCTCAACTATTTCTCGGTGTTTTTTTTTAATTATGCCATTTTGATGAGAAGTGTGGGGATATGTTAGAATATGGACAATTCATAAGTCAATTAGATATTTTGTGAAAGGTATAAACTCTCCACTGGAATATATATCCACCAAAAATAATTTGAAGGCATGCATAACATCAAATCTAAACTTCAAAAAGAAATCCATGCATACTTAATAAGTGCATCAATAAAGGCAATGTATTGTTTATAACCATATTTAGAAGAAAAAGGTGAAATGCCTTATAAGTTAGGATGAATTAAGTCAAAAGGGAATTTATAGACAGTTAAGGATAAGGGGGTGCAATTTATGAGTTTTACCTAAATAGTAAAACCCAAAAAAGTTAAGGTACATTTTTATTGACAACTTTAATATTACATAAACCAAGTACTACATATCAGAGAGTATTAAAATTGATATGTCTTATCCTATAATCCACAAAGTGATATCATTATAAGATGTACAATTTGTCAGGATATAAGAGTATACAATAGGATTATTATTATGAATGTGAGAAACTAAGAAATAAGTGCTTGGTGATTCCAATTGAATATGAGGGAAGCGATAGAGATCATCAGCATCCGTAAGCACAACTTATCTAGAAACTTAAGATTTGACAACAAAAAATTGTTAGCATAAAATTCAAATATTACATTATTATCTTTGGCAAATTATGAGACATCAATCTGATTCCTAGTTATGAAATGTATATGAAGAATTTTCTTGAGCACCATATTGTAGTTAGGTCACGGTTTTGAAATAAATTGAGATGAACCTGCTCATTTAATAGTGAGCCCCTGG